CTCTTTCTAACCTTTTTATAAATCTGAAGAACCTTTTGTGAAACAAAGGTTCTTCTGATGTTCAAGGTTCTTTATGGAACCATTTAGACAAATGTTCTTCTACGGCATCGTGAAGTACCTTTATTGTTAAGAGTGCAGGCTGGTAGTTTTAATCAGACATACATTTTTGAGAGGAGAAAAAAAAAAAAAAAAAAGTCTGCAAGGCATTCCAAAATTTGTTGGCAATCATCTGACCTATGACACAAACTACAAGCAGTCTTATGATCCAGTGTCAGTTTCCACCAGCTCAGCATCACCCTCCGCAGCCGACTGTACAAAAGACACGTTGACAAAACCCAGATGCGAAAGAGCAAGTGCATTTTACCAACTCACTGACAGTTTTACTGTAATGAATTATGATACTCCGTGACACTGATTTTTTTTTCTCCACCAATGAGTCAAACTCACATGATACATAAATAACTGTGCCATGACTAAACTTTAAAAACATCCCTAAAGAACTAAACTCTTAACACAACACAAAGTACACTACTACCAATGAAAACCCAACCTTCTGTTAACCAGCAGACTTTCACTTCCGTTTCGCCACTCCATATCAAGCGTCAAAACCAAATCAGACACCACCTAAATAAAAGCCTAAAGTGAGAAACAAAGCGCAGACATTAAAGATTATGGGAAAGCTCTATGCCATAAACCTATGGCCCAAGAACTAGCTGTAAAGCTGGCTCATTTACTTTGCATGATCACGGCGTTAGTTAAGAGACTTTTTTTGACCCTACAAACACCACAACTTACATTTGACCAGCACTTCAGCTAAATACAAGAGCAGAAAGAGATGCCTCAATAACAATTACTGCTAGACAGAAAACATGGGAATGGGTCGTTGCAAAAGCATGTAAAAGAAATGACAGCAACTACTCTAAACATTTTTTTAATTCTCTTATATCTGTGCATGAACTCATTAACGGAGAAAGTTTTTAAATTCCACTGGGTTTAAGAGAACTGCAAAGACCCGTTCAATAAACGAACTCTTAATCTTACATTACAAATCCTTGCCGATGTGATCAGACCGCCCAATATGCGGAAACAACTCCAGCAACATGTCATGAGCAAACAAAATCACATACTCAAAATAACTCTACAGCACTGAACACTTAAATCATGCGGTCTAATTGGCCAATAGACCAAACTAGGACACCTTTTCCAGCTTCCTCTTTTGCAATTGCTAAAAAAACAACAAAATACACTGCATGTCAATGGGAAGCTGAGAGGCACTATGGTTGAGAGGCACATGTGGTTTTATTAATAAACCATTTTTCACAAGCCAGAGGCTGACCTCACATATAGACCAAAGTATGAAGGCCACCTCTATGCCTTCATGAGCAAAAACTCATGCAAAATAATCCTTTGACACAAAAAAAAGGCTAAGTGAAATTGTGATAGTAATGGCAAATCTGAAAGAGGAACACAGACGAGGACACTACACATGTAGCAACGCCTCTGATCCCTGGAAGCACGAGGAGGCGTTATTTTGAAGCACCAAGCAACCTAGTTACAGATTACGCAGACAATTGTGATCAGACGAAAGTACACTGCAGGAGATAAAGCCAGCCTGGGTATATCTGCGTTAGGGAAACCGTGTCAACATTCAGACACCTCGATCAGAGAAAGAGAGAGAGTTGCTGAAATCATCTAACTGCATCGCTCAAGCGCGAGACGAAGGCTACATAAAAACTGATGCGTCACGACGCGGAAACGCGTCGCATTAAATCCTAATTACATCCGAGTTCAAGAAATGCATTAAGAACTATAATAATCAGTTAACCTAACGGGTTCATACAAAAGAATCGGCAGATAATTATTAAAATACACCTCCGTCAGATTAGACCAGTCAAAAACATATGCGCAACAAACATGCACATGTATGAAGCGTACAAAAACCGGCTAAAAATAAATAAAACGCCACAAATACGCAATTAAAAAAAAAAAAAGTCATAAGTGACTTATCACGGGCGCTGTTGTTTAAAACCACTCAAGTTAGCGCAACACGCGACAGAATGACTAATAAACAAACCGGGAAAACGAGATTATTATCGCCATACAAGTAGAATCTGTTCAGGAAAGCCAGAATAAATATGTTAGTGTGTGTATTTAAAGATAACATTTCCATTTCAGCAAGCCGGACTGACTGGCGCTACATGCCATGTTTACCAAACGCGTCCTCCGCCATTAACACTGCTCATAACGAAACACGACAAACAACGGGACGGTCCAAAAACATTACCCGTGGAGAGAAACAGCAGCGTGAGAAGCATCGTGACTCTGGCAGAGGCTCCTCTCGAACCGCAGCGTCGTGTTTTGACTCTGGTCTGGTCTGGTCTGGTCTGTGCTGTGCTGGACGCTGGAGGTGTTTATGCTGCAGTGCCTCGCCTGGGTCGCGTGATCAGGCTTTTAAGCTGATGAGCTCACTGTCAGCTGACCGCTGCGCATGCGCGCCACTGAGGCGCCTCGAACGCAATCAGGAAGCTCTAGTCGTGTGAACCTTGCATTTTTTGTTGTATTTTGGAGTTTTACGTAGTATTGATGGGATTTATGTCTTCCTTATATATACATATATAACCCTAACTATAATAGCTATACAGTTTGGAGTCAAAAATCCAATTATACAAATATATATAGATTTTTTTTTAATTATTAAAAAAAAACAAAAAAACAACAACACTAGCTTTCTATTTTTTCTATTCTATCTACTTGTTTTTCTTTGTGTGTGTGTGTGTATAATATATATATATATACACACCTTGTTACGTGTGCTGCGTTAGGCTAACCGAGACTTGTCATTTGCACTTATATATTGTTGCTCTTTTGTTAGTTTTGATTGCTTCTATTGTCCTCATTTGTAAGTCACTTTGGATAAAAGCGTCTGTTAAATGACTAAATAAATAAATATACAAAATTATACAAATACTTTATGTTCCTGTTTCAAAAACCTAAATTATAATAATTTTGCGGCGAATTCTGCCCTTCAAATAATATTTAAATATAATCGTATTTTCTATAGATTTCCGGCTTCAAACGTGTACGTAATCAATGTCATGAATAGTTTTATTCCTTGTGATTTTTAGTGGTAAATTCATGTTGAGAGAACTAGTCCATATAGCGTCATAACAAGCTCTGCTAGTGTCACACAAGCTCAATGTGTGTTAATAATTAAATTCCCATTTGCAAGAGAGCCTATTACCATGTTTTTTTTTGACATGCACTCTTTGAAAGTAACTTTGAGGCCCATATAGATCCCATTATATATGAATATAATTTCCACTTGAAAATATATCAGAGTACCATGGTGTTACTTTATTACGATCTAATACCTTCCAGCTTTATCTATATTTAAAGTGCACTTGGAACATTTACTCTTTGTGTGCCTTTTTATTTAAAGGGGTCATATGATGCGATTTCAATTTGTCCTTTCTCTTTGGAGTGTTACAAGCTCTTGGTGCATAAAGAAGATCTGTAAAGTTGCAAACACTAAAGTCTCAAATCCAAAGAGATATTCTTTATAAAAGTTAAGGAGTCAGCCACGCCTACCTAAAACGGCTCGTTCTAACACGCCCCCCACATGTCTACCTCACTATTTAAACCGCGACAACACACCCATTACACATAAACTACGCCAGAGCGCGTACACACCTCACGCACCGGATGCCGTGCGCGCGCCCAAAGCAGTTGGACATAGAGGTGTATTAGAGGTAAAAAATTTATAAATACTGTTCGGTTTCTGGCACAAACTGATCGTTTCGTGTCTTAGGACATCAATGTGTCGTCACGAGCCGCAGGGTTTAATTTGGATTTGTCTGTGCGTGTGTTTTTTTACTCTCATAGATTTTGTTACCATTGCCATGCATTATACGACTGATAGACTGCAACGGTTAAAGT